AATAATACGTTCAACCCTGGATAATTGAAAAATAGGGTTATTTTAAAACGCTGCCATTTTTATTGTAAATGCAACAAGTAAAAATATTTTTGCATTTTCAGATAGTTGGATCTTATGGTCTTAATTGCTGTTAAGCTTATACAAATACAAAGTGTTAGAAAAAATTACGAGCATTTAAAAATGGCTGAAAATTGGATTTTTTTGGGAAATGGACAATACATTTTTAGATATATTTCAGTTCTAAACTGCAACAAGTGGCTTATTTTTTGCCTATTGTTGCAGATAATAGTAGCTAATCAAAAAAATAAACTAACTTGTAAGGACTTGTTGATGAATAGAAAACAACTACAGTTAACTTTGATTTATCCTTTTTTAGCATTTTTCAAATGTTTTTTGAAGTTGATGAGGCTATAAATTTTTTCTAATATGATACAAGATAACAAAAATCAGTATTTTTAAAACAGAACTATCCAGAAAACACTTCTAGAAAAAATGAGCCACTTGTTGAAAGATAAAAAAAAGTTACGAGGCTTTAAAGTAGTCTGTTTTTACAATTCTTAAATCAAGGGGGGCCACTGTGCAGTGTTTATGAAGCTATATTTTCTGAACCATTGCACTTGGAAGTCTCAAATTTTAAATTTAACCTATCTACATGATGTAGATAATGATATATAAAAATCAGCAAAATCTGAGATGGTGCCCCATGAAGTTTTCTAAAAATTGGTTGAAATATAATGATTTGACCCATAATTTATAATTATATGATATTTATAATTATATTGTTCCAATTATAGTTATAACTGTACTCAAAACTTTTACTGAAGTATAAAATAGGAGTAGTAGTCTACTTTGCAGAAAAATTTATTCTTTGCTATTTATTTTAGAATAGTTACAAAGGTTACATGGACATATAATAAGGTTTAACAACAAGACTTTTTGCACATAAGATTCTGTTAATGCACCTCTATTAAATCAAATAAAAAGTTTATATTAAATTTAGTGATTTATGAAGAATTAAAAAAAACAAAAACATATTCACCTCAATAAGTCCTTTATTTGTTTTAAAATAATCATCTTTTATAAATGATAGAAGTTCTATTGTCAACTCGTGCCATAGCCTAAAATGAAAATGCAACTCTTTAATAAAATGTTAACACAATCAGAGAAAATATTAAATTTTCTTTTATACTTATATTTTGAAATTTTAAGAAAACCTTTTTTCATAAAATTGTTGAAGTACACTCCATCTATCACCAAGTTTACTAGTTGAGGACATATGCATAAGATATCCTTTTACATCAATCATTTTCTATCAAACTTCTATATAAAAAGAATATTGTCTATATTAAAAATGAATATTAAAAAATACTTTATAAAATATTGTCCATATTAAAAAGCTATTAAATATTTTGTCTTAAGTTAGTTAACTTAAGAGTCTTAAGCCTAAAAATAATTGTAACAAGTGCATATAATTGTAGGAATAGCTTCAGTACATATATCAAATATTATTATAATTTTATCCTTTTTATTTATTAAGAACCCTTTTTTGGTTTTAAGTTAAAATATACAAAATATATCAGGACATTTTTAAAACCTCTGGAAAAATAAACTTTTTTATTTTTTGTTAAAAAACAATTTTAAGCAATAAAATCTAAAGTAATAATCTTTATATAAAATAATACTTATATTGTTCAGTGATTTTCTACTAATTTATAATTGCTGTTTTTTTTAAGAACATTTAGCACTCTATAGAGTGCTCAATATATATATATATATATATATATATATATATATATATATATATATATATATATATATATATATATATATATATATATATATATATATATACATATATATATATATATATATATATATATATATATATATATATATATATATATATATATATATATATATATATATATATATATATATATATATAGATAGATAGATAGATAGAAATACACACACACACACACACACACACACACATGCACACACACACACACACACACACACACACACACACACACACACACACACACAAGTATATAAAGTATATGATATATACAAAGTATATAAAGATTTTTGATTTTTAGCTTTAAATGTTACTGATAGCATCCAATTAAAGCAGCCAATTGGGGAGACTACAGTTAATAAATCAAATGAGGGTTTGAGTAGACAGTATTTTGATAAAAGTCGGAAGAAGATTTATTGTTACAAAAAATATAATTTAGCTTTTTTAACTTAATAAGATATCCCATTGAATAACAAGCAATTATAATTAAATCAAAAAATACATTTCATGATAACTTATATGAATAATTTAAGGCTTTAATAGTTATTACAATCTGTAAAATAACCATACAAACCTTTAAAGATTTTATATTTTAGCAGTGTAAAATGTAAAACTACAGAAAAAAAATTATTTTTTAAAGCAGCACTAGTTAATTTGAAAAAATATTAATACTCTCTATAAAATTAATTTTACAATATAAATAATATTTTTAAAAGTATACAAATTTAATTTTAAAATGTTTTATCTATAAGATACTCCATCTTAAAATTCGCCATATATAAAGAAATTGCTTTTCTGTATTTCATATCTATACATATGTAGCATATAATATAATAATATTATTATCAATATACAGTTTATTATAATCTATATACTTTAATGATTCAATTATTATTTATACTATTTATTATATAAATTATTACTTGTTCATATTATTTATTATTATATAAATTATTATTTCATATAGTAATTATATAGAAAAAATCTAATTTTATATTTAACATAAATTCATCACCAAAAATTGAAGTAAAAATTTTAATGTATGATTTTCCAATTTTATAAAAAACTTAAATACAACTTTTCAAGCTTTCAAGTGTGAAACATTTCCATAAGGGACCATATTAATTAGTTCTTTTTTTTGTTATATGTTTCAATTTTTGTATAATAATGTTTTTAATGTCTCAACAACAAAAAAAAAAGTTATTGGATTATTTTGTGCATTAGGATTTTTTTGTATGTTACCATTTTAAATGGGTTTTCAGCTAATTAGGCTACATAAGTCATTTGTCAGACAGTTATAAAAAAAGTGTTGTAAAACAATTAGAGTGGTTCCAAAAAGTACGGTTGAACAAACTGTAATTTGTTTTTTCTGTTTTTTTTTTTAATCCGTTTTTTTTTTTTTTTTTTTTTTTATTTTTATTACACACTATAGTCACTGATCTTAAAATATATTTGAAATAAATGTTTTTATAATATTTGAGATAAGCATTTTGATAACATTTGAAAAAAATATTTTGAGGTCAAAAAATTACTATTAAATTAAAAATTCAGATATCTGTTACGAAATTGCGCATTTCACGAAATGTGTAATTTTTAGTTCAATTCGTGAACTAGATATTAGGGTGCAGTGAATTTTTTTTTTTATCTTTGTAAAAATATATAATATTGAAAAAAAGCTGTCCTGACATATTTAAAGTAGTTTGTAAAAGTTTCAATGGGATTGTGATAGATCTTGAGGGTCCTCAGGAAGCTTTTAGTTAGGGGGTCACGAGTTGGCACGTATAATTTGCATGTTTCCATTTTGTGTGTTTTTTGAGCGAATTTACTGTTAGATGTACATGAGACATCCAAATAATATTGTAGGATATGGTAGAATTGATCCTGGAGATTCTACAATAACAGACCAAAAGCCATTGCAATGAAAACTGCCCGAGGCATAACTCATCACAGTAGGCATAAAATCAATAAAAATAAACCGATTTTGTTAAATTCGCATTTAGTAATACAATTTCATTGTTCAAATGCTTTGTTGTTTAATCTTATTTGCTTTTCAAAGATACGAAATTAAATCTATTTAATATCAACTCTTTATTTACATTATTATTTGGAAGAAAATTAATGAAATAATATTTACTTTTTAGTTCTAGCCAGAATAGTATTCAGGATATTCAGAATAGTATTCTGAATACTATTTTTACTAATTTATTTATCATTCACAAATAATTTTTATAAAATAGAGTTATAAAATAGATTATTTACCTCACAGATTTGTAAAAAAAAAATTTTTTATCTTATCTTTGTTAAATGCTTATTTAAGGTTCTGACGACAAGATCTTTGCAATCTTCTTTCAGATACCTTGTTTATATTTGTTATATTTTCTATAAATTTAATTTTCTATATATTTCTTTATTCATTGTAATTTTACATTATTATTTTTATTATTGGTTATCTAAAGCTGTACAACGATTAACAAATGTAAACCAAAAAATAAAAAAAAAAGTCTTATCGCCAAGCCCCTAATAATCCGTAAATAATTTAGCCATCAAATCTTGTCATTAAAAATTTTGTCAAATAAAAAAAAAAAAAAAAAAAAAAATTAAATGAAGATAATAAATTCTAAAATTTATTTTCAATAATAATTGAACACAAAGCCAAAATAAAAAATAAACAAACGAAAAAAATATTCAAAACTATATATAAGAGTTGTTAATTATTGCGATTAAGAATTTCTAATTAGGAAATATAATGAAAAGAATTTAAAAATGTTAAGGAAAAAGTTTTGGTTTTTCATAATAAGAAAATAAAAAATAACTTTTTAAAGAACCAAATTTTTAAACCATTGCAATTAAATATAGCTTTAGAAGAAGTCCTTCATGTTTTGATTAATTAAAATTATTTCTTTTAGTTTTATTTAAAACTATTTGTGTTTGCAATCGTTTTGATGTCATTTCTAGTTACTATACTCCATAGTTGGGGGCCTCTAGCTGTGATATCAAGCTAAATCTCACTTTTGAAGCCGCAAAAGTAAGTGGCTTTAAAAAGAGATTTAGCTTGAATATAATTATTGTTTGCATGTCTAGTAAGATATTTGTGCTGTATTTTTTTAAAATAGCGTTTAAAAAATATTTGGCATTGTATCGTTATTGATTTTATACATAAAAGTTAAATGAAAATATATATTTATTTGGTGAACATTTAAACATTTTAGATTAATAAATAGTGGTTGTGAATGAGAGAGACGGTCTGCGTTGGAAATTATTCTTATGACATGTTTTTGTTTGTTGAATAGTTTGTTTAGTCTTTTTTTTTTTTTAATTGGTGCACCAAGCAATGTTAGCATAATTGAGATAACAATGAATAAAAGAGAAGTAGATATATTTTAAGCAAATTTGATTTAAGGTAAGGTTTTACTTTATAAAGTATGCTAATATTTTTAGAAATTTTATTTTCGATTAATTTTATATGGTTTATCTACGTGATTTTTTCGTCAAGAAGAACACCTAGAAACTTCATTGAGTGTTCTCTTTTTATAAATTGATTCCTAATACTAACATTTGGGAGCTTTAGAAAAATTTCATCTCTTTGATAAAATCGATGAAAAAAAATATACTTAGTTTTGGTTAAGTTTAATGACAATTTATTTGTATTAAACCATTCAGTTACTTTTAACAGCTCTTTGTTGACTGTTTTAAATAGAGTTTTTAGAGACCATTCAGTTAGTTTTAAATAGAGCTTTGCTTAAGTCGTTAATGTAAATTAAAAACAAAAGCGGTCCTAAAATGGATCCTTGAGGAACTCCACAAGTGATTGTCTTATTTTCAGTTTTACCACCATCATAAGAAACATACTGCTTTCTATTAGACAAGTAGTTTTAAAACCAAACTAAATTTGCATTCTTAACTCCGTAATTTACTAGTTTTAAAAAAAAATTATAAAATATATACTTTGTTCCGCTTTTCCCATACATGGAGCAAATCTGTCAAACATAAAGATAATGGACAAACATGAAACAAAATGATGTTGAATAAAATTAATGTTATTTTTTCATAAACCGAATTAATTTTTATTATATTTGTTGATAAATTGTTTGAGAAAATAAAAAATAATTTTTTTTTATATATTAATTTGTTTTTTGTTAAACTCACAAAAAAATGTAAAAGAACCATCAAATGTTAATGTAATGTCTATCCATTTTGAAATTTTATCGTGAAAATAAATCTAGAGTCGAATTCATTCCATTTTTACAATTCCAGTTTCCATTTTGCTCGAGGCAGTATTAACCCATAATAAACATTACTTTATATGAAAATTTTAACTTTGTTTTTAAATTAATATATAAATATTTTGATTCAAAATATAAATAGTTATAGTATAAAAATAACTATGATGTAAAAATAAAAATAGTAATGATATAAAAAAATAGCTATAAATTAAAGTCAAAACTATTCGAAGAATATTAATAGTTATAATATAAAAATAAAAATTACTATAATGTAGAAATAAAAACAACTGATGTAAAAAAGTTAAAGAAAATGATATTAACTTTTGCATCCATATATATATATATATATATATATATATATATATATATATATATATATATATATATATATATATATATATATATATATATACAGAGGCAATTTTGAAATAAGGCAGGGGAGGGGGCGTACCACCCCTCAAAGAAGTTTATAATCAGTCTTTTTACAAATTAGTTGGGTATTTGACACAAATTTGTCGGGTAAATTTTGAGGATCTTTTTTTTTTTTCTTTTTCTCTAAGAAGTCAGTTGGTACTGACTTCTTAGGGAAAAAGAATTATTTATGAATTCACCCCTTCCCCCTCATTTTATTTGGAGAATCACCTTTGTATAGTACAGAGGTGCATTATACAGTATAAAATTCAATCATCAAAAAAATTTTTATTGAAAATACAATTTTCTTATTATAATTTTATTATTATCTTACTAAATTATAACTTTTAACGGAGTCATCCATTAATTACGTCATGCTCTAAGGGGTGGGGGGAGATTGCGTGACAAAATTTATGGACGATCTCAAATCTAAAAACTTTCATATCGTTGGTATACAAGGCAAATGTACCGAGTCCAAAACATCATTTTGAGATAATGAACAGATAAGTTTTTATGTAATAGCATGGTCTACTATATTCAGGGCCATATATCTTACATTTTTGAGGGGAAAATTAAGAGACCGCTTTTGAAATTTTTAAAATATTATATTTTTAAATACTCTTCTTTCTGAATTTACTAACTTTTAAAGAATTTATATTAAAAATGGTTAACAAATGTGCTGCATCAAAATGTACATCGGTATACTTAAGAAACAAACACAAACAAATTGCATCTTTTCATTTTCCAACAAACCAAAACTTATATCAACTTTGGGTACGATTTGTTAATCGTTCTGATTGGACTCCAACAAAACATTCTGTTTTATGTGAACTTCATTTTGAAGATAAATATATAATTAAAGGTGATAAATGCACCCTGAATTGACTTTTAAAACCTGTTCCTTCTAAGTATTCTTGTGAACTTTTGCAAAAAAAAAATCATCTTTATCAGTTTTAAAAACTTCTCGAAGCCCTCTTAAATTGAAAATATTCCGAAAAGATCAGTTAGAAATATTTAAGAAAAATGATATAGTTAAAAATGAACATAATTTGAATGAAGCAGTAGCACCACCAAGGTTTCACTTTAAACGATTTGAAAAAGGTGTTGTATTTTATAATATAATATTTAATGAACAGACATACTTTCCAACTATATTAGAATCAATAACAGTTGATGTAGATTTAAATGTATTTTTGAAATACAAAGAAACACCACTTCCATTACCAAGTTGGTTTGTTAAAGAACATAATGCAAAACCTAATAAAATTAGTATGCTAGAAAATTTTCCTTCTTATTAAAAAATTATCCTTTATCTAAACCCACGAGCATTTTTTGTTCCTTGTGGAAGCCATTCACTAAACCTTGTTGTCAATAACGCAGTATTTTCCCGCACTGTAGCTGTTAGCTTTTTCAGCAATATTCAGAAGGTTTATTACTTTTTTTCTCAATCATCCCATAGATAGAGTATATTAACAAATCATGTAAACAACTTGGCTGTAAAATCCAAGTGAAATCTGTTGGTAGAGCACCATAGACGCTCTTGAACTTTTGCGATACCATTAGATTCCAAGATTGATGCTTTTGGAAAATGTACTGGTAAGGGAATGGCCAAGAAAACTACAGATTTCAAATTCATCTACTGTTTGATTACTTATCATAATGTCTTGATCACATTTAATTTAATAAGCAAAATACTTCAGATGAAAACTGTTAATCTGCTGAGCGCTTCATAATTAATTAAAAGTGTCGAGGCTTTTTATGGATAGCATGAGATAGAACCATGTGCTATATAGTTTTATTATAGACGCAATAAAACTGGTTCTTTGAAGAAGTTGTGGTCAGGCCAAGTAAGATCAAAAGTAAATTTTCCTATGAAAGGTAACTAATGAACCTGTAAACTGATGAACCTATGAAGGTAACTAATGAACCATTGAAGTCGGCAAATAAAAGATGAACTTACAAAGTTGGCAAAAGAGTCTTTCAAAGTAAATTTCTTTTTTATAGTTTTAGACACTAAAATGAGCTCTTTGTCAGAAAGATTCAAACAGATGGAAAATCAAAGAAAACATTTTGAATTTCTCTATAACATAAATAAATAAATAAATAGAAAAACGTAATACAGCTGCATAAAAAAAAAATTCAAAAGCCTGCATTCCGTTTTGACAGCTGAAGGCAAGAGTGACGTTAAAAAGAATGAACTGCTTGGTGAAATTGTAATCTTAGCCCTAATGTAGCAATTCAAAAGATAGCTGCCCTAAAACAACACTTATAATACAAATAACCGTTTGATTGACATCATTCCTAATGTATTGTATTGAGAATTTTGCTTACCCACCCGGTAACAGTGGTTAGCGGAGAAAAAAGTTTTTCTAAATTAAAAGTTACTAAAAGTTACGTTCGATTGACCTTTTTTCAGGACCGCCTATGTGGATAGCAACATTAGTAATTGAACATCAGGTTCTGAGTACAATTAAAACCGATTAATTTTTGAAACACTTTGCAAAAGACAAGAAAAGTTTGATGATTAATTTTATTTTTTGTCAATAACAACTGTACGATAAGTATTTGTTGTCAATAAAAACTGTACCATAAGTATTTGTTAATTTCTTTCATCAAATATGTATTACAAGTCGTTTATAATTCTGTAGTCAATTTTTATCTAAAGTACAATAAATATTTAATAGATTATTATATTTTTATTGTATTTTAAGGGTTTTAATAAATAACGCAATTTCCCAAAACACATATATATATATGATATGTTGATAATAAACATACAGTATTGTGCAAATTAATTGCATCAAGCTAAAAACAACTGTAGAACTTAGTTTATTACGGTTTCGGTAATAACAGTTCATATCTAATACTTAATATGTCCTCCCCGTGATGCAATTACACTTTGCTCACGCTGTGACATAGAATACACCAGAGTTTGACACAAATTCTTCAATTCTTCATCGTGGAACCAGATTTCCATGGTGGCTTCTATCAGCTTCAGTTTACTGGTACAGTCGCGAGTTCTACGTTTCTTCTTAACTATACCCCATAAATTCTCAATGGGATTAATATCAGTTAAATTGCCTGGCCATTTTAGAGTAACAATTCTGCTGTCTTTTAGGAATTCGGTAACTTTCTTTGATGTGTGACACGGTGCGAGGTCCTGCTGAAACAACCCGTCATGGTCTGGGAACTGCTTTGTCATCTCTGGTATCAGTTTTCTCGTTAAAACATCGACGTAGCCATCGGAATGCATCATGCCTGTCACAGGCTGAAGTGCTCCAGGCCCAGCTGCTGTGCCAGCTGTTGTCAAAAGTTGCTTCTTGGTGGGCTCTATAGCTGGCCGCCCAGCACAAACCAGTCTCCGCCTAACAGTGCTTGAACAGACACTGACACAATGACTTTCAAGATCATTCCTAAGCTGGGCACTTGTCTTCTTGGGGTTCTTCTTACTTTGCTGTAGTAGAAAACGATCATCCCTGGCTGTAGTCTTTCAAAGCATACCTGCCCAGTTGCTTTGGAGAAAAACTGCCAGTTTCTCTGAACAGCTTGAACACTCAGCTAACGGTAGACTGGTTGACATGGCATAATTCTTCAATCTCTTTTTGACTTTTTCCAGAATGTTGAATCCAAGTTACAATTTTAGAACGTTTTCTAGGTGTTACATCCATATTTGTTTAATTATGCTAAAGAAATAAAATAAGAACTAAATAAGAGCTTATATGTAGGTTTTTTGTTATTTTTTTAGCTTGATGCAATTAATTTGCACAATACTGTACATATATTTTTTTATGATCGGGGGCGCCAAACCTTGATCTTGCGTAAACCAAAAACAATCCTTGAACCGGCCCTGAGAATAATATGCAATGTTTATTTTACAGTAACTATTCAAATCAATACTGTAACACGGGGTTACTTTGGCCAGCAGGATTACTTTACTTTGGCCATTTTTAAAAAATGGCCAAAATAAAGTAACCCCGTTACTTTACTTTGTTACGTTAAAAGTTACAGATGCTTAATTAAACATCTGTAACTTTTAAACAGTTAAATAACGTTTTACTATTTTAAATTTTAAAACGTTACTTAACTGTTTAAAAGTTACAGATTTAATTTGAATCTGTAATTTTTGTTCAATTAAAATTTTTAAAAATAGCCAAAGTAACCCCCCTGGCCAAAGTAAGCCCAAAGGCCAAAGTAAGTGTTACGGTATTTATATCTATATATAATACATAGATATAAATGTATCTTGATTTGAATAATTTCTGTGAGAGTTCTGCAACAAATATTACACAAATGTCTTTAAATCTTTGATATCTATTTTATTTTAATAAGTATATATAAAAAAATTCAACTGCCACTTTTACATTCAAGAACTTTAAGTTAAAAATTAAGATTTGAGTTGGTTTTTAAAAATACAATATTCTGCGCAGCCATTTTTCAGTAAAAATCATCCTCTTAATTTCCCCCTCAGAAATGGGGAAACGTTAAATCCAATCCGTCAAAGAGCTGTTTGAACAGTTTTTAAAAATTCTAGACTTGATTACGGCATTTACAATGTGATATAAATGTTATCAAATTGATATTAAACGAAAATATTATTAATAATAACATGATTAATAATAAATATTAAATACAAATGTTATTAAATGTTATTAAAAATCGCAGAGTTTCTTTTATTTTAAAGTACAACTATATTTCCGTTGGAAATCGCATCGGTCAGTAAAATTTAGATTGCACATTGAAGGATTGGATTTAGTGTTTTCCTTAGAAATGAAAGATATACGGCTGTGAATATAGTATAATTTTCAATTATACTATATTCATATCACGTTATAAAGATGATTAATCACGATGTGATAAATAATTGAATAAATAGATCAGTTTCATCTATTTTGCTGTATCCTACAAAATTGAGGAACTTTTTCCATTTTCATTACTCCGCCCCACCCCACTTTCGCGACCTTCCTACGCCACAGGTTAAAATAATAAGTTTTTTTATGATAATTGAAATAAAAAATCTTAATAACTCATTAATAATTGGTTTATTAAATTTGTGTCAAACGATAGAGAATTAAAAGTACTAAATAGTGGTATAAATAACTCCATACTCCCAAAGATGGACTTAGTGCATTTCCCTTGCATACCGACAATATTATGAAATGATAATTTTGAAAAAGGTCATTTTTGAAATAATTTAATAATGATCAAATCACAAAAATTTTGACCAAAAAACTGCGATTTTAACTAAAAAAATCATTAAAATTCTGCGTCAGCCGGGAATCGAACCCGGATCTATTGCTTGGAAGGCAACAATGCTAACCGTTACACCACCGACGCTGACACTAAGGTAGAAAATTAATTATTATATAATGTAAAAAATCATACAGCAAATGGTAAAATAACAAAAATAAAACGTTGTAATAATGAAAATAAGAACGGGGAGGTAGAATTGATTTAACGGTAGCGTTCACTGTTCAATTAAGCCGTACCGGAAGGTAACAAACACTGTACAGTGCTTGCAAAAGACTGTACAGTAATTCCTACCGGCCAGACACCAAACACTTAAGGCGGATTTCCACTTACAGGAAATTTTCCGCGGAACGGAAAGGAAAAGAAAATTATCCAATCATGTAGCATAAAAAGTGTGTATCTAAAATTTTTTTGTTAAACGATTTTCTTTTCCTTTCCGTTCCGCGGAAAATTTCCTGTGAGTGGAAATCCGCCTTTATCTATTAAAATAATTTGATAAAGTTAATTTTATAATACGACTTATAGGCTAAATTTTTTTTCTAATTTAAATAACATTACAGAAGAATTTTTACAATTAATGTCCTTTTTAATTTGACCTGTTTTGAAGTTTAGGACTGAGTATTTTTATTGTCACTAACACTTGTAAGGTTATCTTTCAAGGTTACGAGGTCCTACTACTCTTATTGACGTATAGATTAAGGATTTTATCAGATTTTTTTCTTCTTAGTTAATTTCACTACCTCTAAGAAGTCTTACTTGCTCTATATAAAGTAAGTTGTATTGGATTACAAGTATTTCAGTAGAAGAGTGACCTGAGTTGTTAAATCAATTCGAATAATCTTATTGCTGTTTGTAACAATGCAATGTTGGTAAAACTATTAAGAATAAAATATATTTTTGTAAAGGCTGCCTTTAGCTTTTTGTCGACCAGCAAAACTCACAACTCCAGTAGTGAGTTTTGTTGGCCCCTCACTACTTTGATTTTTTTCTTTGCTTTATCAATTGCTTGCAGTAACATTGTTTTCATAAATATAATTTTATGAGAACCCAA